GTGAGGCTACTGAATACTCTTGTATTGTTATTTGTAATATAACAATTACAATTATTATTATTATTATTTTAATTTAAGAATTTTTTATATTTTTTCAATTCCTGGAAATATAATTGCTTTTATTACTATTTTCATTAGTATTATTAATATTATGGTATATGTCAATAACCGCTAAACACTTTGTTTTATGTTCAAGATGAAGCTTTTTAATGCACAATGAAATCACAAGAACATGATATATCAATAGAAAATAATAAAAGTCAATATAATAGTATTGAACTCTCGTCCCTGGACTCCCCAGGAACACGCATGACCTCAATATATTATCTTGAAGTATCTTAAGTTTCAAGCCAAGAATTCGAGGAGTTCTCCAGGCATTGAACTGAAACCTGTCAGAACAACAGTGAGAAGACAACAACAAAGATTAAAATAACAGCACAATAAAGCTTCCAAGGTATCCATACTAGGGATACTTAATTAGTACAGAAATAAAATATAGGTGGATAGATCTATTATTATTAATGTTGTCATTATTATTGGCATAGGGGGAAGGAAAACCCTGATTCCCAAAATAGGGGTATGGCCGCAAGGCAGCGGAGGTTTAGAAAGGCTTCAGGAGCCTACCTCGAGGAAAAATTCGAAGTTGGAGCCTCTAAGGCAGTCCGTTGTCGACTTCGACCTCGCTCTGGCAGCTCCTGCGACGGTGCTGGAACCATGTGTATTAGCATTTGCCTTTCCATTGGATAATTTCAGCAACGTGGAGAGGGGGGGGGACCTACTGCATGGGTAACAGCTTCTTATCGACCTACCCAGGCTTTGCGCCCTGGAGAGCAACCAGAGTGCAACTCCATAGTCTGCAGAGACTGAAGGATGCCTACTACTATTATTGGCATCATCTCAATGATTCTACTAACCAGAGAAAAATAGGAAATCGTGGCACGAACCTTCATAATAGAGAGGTTATTCATAAATAAGGCTATCTTCATACCTGGCTATATTGATACCTGGCTCTCTACTAAGTGACTAATATTCACAAACAAAAAGTATGCTTTCTTTAGTTGGGGGCAAGAAACCTGTCGGGCTTATCGAGGTCCGCCAAGACCAACTCCCCCCCCCAGGATGCACTGACCACTGACAGTAATATTTTCGTGTGTAATATATTAATATTACACACTACAGTTTCTCTCTTGTAATGCTAACTTGTCCTCACGCCACGCCCGTAATGAGGCTGTGGCTAGGACTTATAACGAGGACCTTGCTTCATAACTTGTAAATTGCTCGCAACTCAGACGACCAATCGGTCGAGATCCTCCGCAACGTAAATGATTTACATCTGCAGTAGGCTACGTAGGGCGGGGAAGACCCGGAATCAAAGTAAACAAAGTTGGAGGTGTGGGGGAGAAAGGGGGATGTGACGTCACACCAAGTGGCACAAGAACAGACCTTTGGTGGAGGGATGTTCATGGAGGGGGCGGGGAGAGCCTTGGGGTTATAGGGTTAGGGGGAGGGGGTTGAGGATTAGGGGAGGAAGTGGGTTACGCAAGTGTTGGGTTGAGGCTTACTGCCACACACTGTAGCTTCATAGACAACAGAACAGCTAAGCCCAGTATCGGCAGCGTCTTGGGTGATATAATCGAAATGAAAAGTGGAATACCACAAGAAAGTTGCCCTTCACCCATACTTTTCAACACACACTATATTATATTATATATATATATATATATATATATATATATATATATATATATATATATATATATATATATATATATATATATATATATATATATATATATATATACTGCTCCAACCCCAACATGGAAATTACATCACATACATTGATGATGTTACTCAAATAATATACCAATCTCGTCTCCCAGTACTGATTATTTTCAAGGGTAGTAACTGGGAAAACTAAGTCTCGTTGAACACAATATTTAAAACATTACAGCATGTGAAAAAACATTGGGCACGTTTCCTTTCACCCAATTCCACTTTTCATCCAGCTGTTAAATAGATAACCTGTCATCCGTACAGGCATCCTGTTCCCATCAACGGGAATTATATTTATAACATTGCATTTTGTTAATAAATTTTACAAATTCTTGGATTGGTTTCCATGTAAGTGAACACCAGCAAAAGGAAAGTGACAGGTGTCAAGGGAATTTGAAAAAAATACTGTAGGAGAAAAGTTTTCCTTTATCTCAGCTGCCAGGGATCTTAGGTGAGCAAGTTCCTTCTTATGGAACTTTGCGCTTATGACGAATTTCCTAACATTGTGACCAAAAGATCAGCGGCAAAAGTGTGGCTTTTCGATCACTAATCTAAGTTCTGTCCAAAGCTACTTTACCGCCAAAGCAGGGAGCCGGTGACTGAGCGGATAGAACACTGGACGCGTGATCCTGGGTTCGATCCCGGGCGCCGGCGAGAAACAATGGGCAGAGTTTCTTTCACCTTGATGCCCCTGTTACCTAGCAGTAAATAGATATCTGGGAGTTAGTCAGCTGTCGCGGGCTGCTTCCTGGGGGTGGAGGCCTGGACGAGGACCGGGCCGCGGGGACACTAAGCTCCGAAATCATCTCAAGATAAGATAACCGCTGAAACAACAGTCCGTCCTCCTAAGATATCCCAACGTCAAGAAAACGGTTAATTTAAAGTGTAACCTACCCAAGTCCTAACCTACCAGAGGACCCAAAACAGAAAAACGGGACAGTACGTCACGTTCACCAGCCGCTTCCATTTTCTAGTACGACAATTGTTGGCCTTCTGTAACGCATACGTGCGAAAAGCGACGTTCTTAGTAGGAGGACAATTTGGAAGTGATCTCTTCGTAATGGGGCTCCTGTTGCCCTTCCATGGCACTCCTATGATAACTCCGAAGCCTAGGAGGATGAGTTTGTTACACCTTACAAAGTTACACCTTCGAGGACAATACATCCTGCACCTCCAGTGATCACAAATGAAGGTGGTCTTCCTGTTCGATTTTTTCCCCCCTTCTTCGCTTCCCGTTCCCGCCTTCTGTCCACCCACGAAAAACCTCATACAGAGAAATGAACAAATCCACAAGGGCCGTGACGAGGATTCGAACCTGCGTCCGGGAGCATCCCAGACACTACCTTAATCGACTGAGCTACGACAGAGTTAAAAGGGTTGAAACCGAAGTTCTACTGAACTTACTGGATCCCGTAGCCTCTCCGAGGCACAAACCAGGCTTTTACATACAGAGAATCCTAATCCCATGGTAATTATTTTACGAAAACAAGAGCCGAGGTGGTGGGTATATATTATTGATAGAGCAGATCATATGGCCCCAACCCCAGGTATAAATCGAATTATTAAGTCACTGTACGCAGCCGCTAAACATTGATATATTGAACACATTTTTATGCTGCTAGGTTCTCATTAAGTTCTAAAGGCAAGCGAGCGAACGAGTGTGGCAACTTCATGTTTTTTGACGCATCCTAATACACACTAATAGTGACCGTGTATGTTACATTGATGGTTGTCCGGTTTGTAGTAAATAAAAGGTATCCATACAATAATGTATTACCCACATGAAGAGGGTTCAGGGGGGAGACCCCAGGGAACAGGGAACGTGCACCGTAATATTAAACACGGATTACACACTACCCACACTTATTGGAATATATTTCTCATCCGGGTACACTTATTTTGTATTTATTTCTCATCCGGGAACCTCAGCTAGTTATCAAAGAAGGTTAGAACAGATCAAGATCAAGCCACGTTAGTTGGTAATACCTTCCCACACTTGGCTCACGAGCCAAGTTAGTTGACAACACCTTCCCCATACTTGGCTCACGAGCCAAGTTAGTTGACAACACCTTCCCCATACTTGGCTCACGAGCCAAGTTAGTTGACAACACCTTCCCCATACTTGGCTCAAGAGCCAAGTTAGTTGACAACACCTTCCCACACTTGGCTCAAGAGCCACATTTTTAATAGAAATTTTTCGCGATGTTTACTAGTAAATCCATAATAAACATGTACAGTACACGAACGTATCTTGGTAAAAATAAAATAAAGTGCATATTTTTATTAAGTTGCAAGTGTTGTCGCAACTTAGGGAATGTGTACGAAAATATTGAACTTAAAAGTTTCAAACAAGAGAAATAGTTTACATAATCATCTAAAATCTCTTATGAGACTTAATCTTCCACAAATAACATGCAATAATTATATTAGTAAATCTTTAACTTGGAAGAAAGATCATTGTTTTTCTCAACAACACTACTAAGGCATATAGCATTAACATTTCATCTAATAATTTTCTTAAGCTGAATGTCTCACCACCAGCAATTAAGCAAGGAAAGGGTTTCCTCCGGTTTAAGAGAGGTTCCGACCATCCATCTGACTGTGATCTCTCCATGTGTTATTCATCAACACACAGAGCTCTTAGCTTTAATTGCGGCTATAAATTACGGTTTGAGTGGTAAAATGATGCAATAATTCATCTTATATCTCAAGTAAATATTGACTCCTCTGATACCAACACCTTTACGACTACGAGCTGGGTATAATCAGAACTGCATTTTAAAAGACTTGACACAAGAATGCAGTTTCCAGGCGCTAGAGACAGTTAAAGTGCGATTGAGTGAACTTTTATTTACATTGTGATGCAGCGTCCACTCGCGCTGATTATGCGAAATTTGCACGACTGAGAATGCCAAGTTTGCATAGCACGCTCACTTAACTGGCCTCTACACTCGTCCGAAACTATTATCTACGCCTTTGACTTCCAAAAATCAAACCATTTAGTCCTAACTACTGCTTTGAATCAAAAGCATACTTAATCTACAAGCCTCTGATACGTATGAGAATCAAGCCCCAAACGTTAAAATTGTTAGCGTGTTCATTAAATATATCTTAAGTTGATCATGAGGCAGAAAAAGGCGAGGAGTGATGCTAGGGGTGTGAGACGAGAGAGCGCGACCAATGGGGAGGCTGTGTGGCGCGAGGGGGGCGGGGCCTCCCGTCTCTCCCCGCTGCCAACACTACATTCATTGTATTTGCCAACTGGCCGCCGCGGGGGGAAGCTGTGCGTCCGCGCCTCTCCACACTCGTGTGATTGCTGTGTTCTTCGGGGGTTTGTGTGATGCAGAGTGCTGCAGTGTAAAGCCGAGACCTGGACTCCGGAGTGAGATGTGAGAGGCAGAGTGTTACGTGGTGCAGGCCCGCGACGGGGAGCGCTAGATTGTGGAAAGGACATGATGTTACTGGCGGGGCAGGAGTGAGCCAACACGGGTCGGTGGGCCTCCTTCAGATGCTCAGATAACAGCGGCTCCAGCATGGCGGGGTCCACCAACGCCCTCGTATGGATACTTGTGGGCGTGTGGGCGGCCTGTGCGTCGAGGGTGTGGGCGGACTACCCGGTGCTCCTGTCGCAGGACCACCCAGGAGGGCCGCGGCGGTGCGAGACCATTCGCATCGCCGCCTGCCGGGAGGTCGGGTACAACCTCACCTCCATGCCCAACCTTGTGGGCACCGAGCTCCAGAAGGACGCAGAGTCGCGCCTCAACTCCTTCAAGCCCCTCATACAGTACGGGTGTTCCTCGCAGCTCCAGTTCTTCCTGTGCTCCATCTACACGCCCATGTGCACGCCACAGGTACCCACGCCCATCGGGCCTTGCAGGGACCTGTGCGAGACGGTGAGGAACCGCTGCGCCCCGGTCATGGCAGAGCTGGGCTACCCGTGGCCCCACTTCCTCAACTGCTCCAGGTTTCCTCCAGAAAATAACGAGGATCACATGTGCATGGAGGGCCCTGGGGAGAAGATGCCGCCCCACTCCCCACCTACAACCTCAACACGCCCGCAACCGCCCCGAAGATGTAGTCAATACGCCCACGCCCACAAGTACCGGTATATCAACGCGACGGGCACGTGCGCGCCTCTATGCCAAGCCAATATATCTTTTAACAGCAGCGACAAGTCGTTCGCTGGGGTGTGGATGGCCATCTGGGCGGTGGTGTGCTTCGCTGTCACCCTCTTCACCGTCCTCTCCTTCCTGCTTGACGCCGCCGCCTTCAGGTACCCGGAGCGGGCGGCTGTCCACCTGGCGCTCTGCTACAACCTGGTGGCCGTGGGGTACCTGGTGCGGCTGGTGGCAGGTGCAGGTCGCGTTACCTGCCACGCCGACCCGGAGGTGGGCGTGGTGGCCGTCACTGAAGGGGCACTACATACCACCTGCGCCCTCGTCTTCCTCCTCCTCTACTACTTCAGCACCGCTGCCTCAGTCTGGTGAGTTGACCCCCTCTGCGAACACCCCCTTCCGTGTGAGAGGTGTTAGGGCCTCTCAGTATTATTTAATGCTCTCGCTTCATGCAGGTCGGCGTTCAATCCCCGACCGTCCAAGTGGTTGGGCACCATTCCTTCCCCACCGTCCCATCCCAAATACTTATCCTGACCCCTTCCCAGTGCTATATAGTCGTGATGGCTTGGCGCTTTCCCCCTGATAGTTCCCTTCCATTCTAGCTGTCAAGTATACTTTAATTCTAAATAAGAGTTCAAGACTATAGTGAACTTATTTCATGAACACACAAGTTCATCATTCATGGTAGACTGACATGATCTTGATCTGTATATTCCCAACAAGGCTTGTTATAAAGAGTGTTATACACACGCCAAAATGCATATTTAACGAAACCCAGAAGACTAGGTTTTTAGAACATAGAAAGTTTTAGATATCTTTAGATATAGAAGGTTTTAAGAAGAAACAGCTTCTAGGTTTCGTTAAATATGCATATGGACGTGTTTTGCGTTTTATTGAAACACGAGTGGCGTGAGTACAACATTCTTAGAATGTTATTCAGTGTCTCGTACGTGAATATTCTCAGCTAACCTGTCAGATTCGACTCACAATGGGTTGGCTTAAGTCTGCTTGTTCCATCACATTGTTAGTATACAAAACTGATATGTTAGGTAAAGGGAATATTTGTGTTTTTAAAAAAAAAAAAAAAAATCCACCTAAATTAGTTAACATTTAAATAGGAAAAAGAGGACTTTCACCTTTTTTATGTAGAATATCCACATAATAACGTAAGCTGTACCTTGACACTAGTAAGAAGTTGTCGGTGTAACATTTTTCACAAGTTGGAATAAGTTACAGTTGCTGTATGGTAACGTTGACAAGGGCTGGGGAGATCCGTAGGAGCAGTTATCTTGAGATGATTTCGGGGCTTTTTAGTGTCCCCGCGGCCCGGTCCTCGACCAGGCCTCCACCCCCAGGAAGCAGCCCGTGACAGCTGACTAACACCCAGGTACCTATTTTACTGCTAGGTAACAGGGGCACAGGGTGAAAGAAACTGCCCATTAGTTCTCGCCGGCGCCTGGGATCGAACCCGGGACCACAGGATCACAAGTCCAGCGTGCTGTCCGCTCGGCCGACCGGCTCGGCCGACCCGGCAGTGATGAAGGTTCAAACTATGCGGCTAGTGTTCTCACGCACACGCGTCTAGCGACTAGACCACGGCATGATACAAGAATTGCAACCTGGAGTTCTTCTGAACACACAAGGCTTTCCTACGGATTTTCTCATTGATGCAGTTACGTTAGTGTGATTATTCTGTGTATTGTAAGGGCTGGGGTTGAAGGGTAGTCGGGCTCTACGGGTACAGACCAGGAGGCTTGGTCGAGGACCGGGCCGCGGGGACATTGAGCCTCGAAATCATCGCAAGGTAACCGCTCGGGGTAGCGTACGAAGTCTGAGGGGTAACGTAGACAGGGGCTGAGTGTAGCACAGACGGGCTAGAGGGTAGTACAGCCGGCTAGAGGGTAGTACAGCCAGCTAGAGGGTAGCACAGCCGGCTAGAGGATAGCACAGACGGGCTAGAGGGGTAGCACAGACGGGCTAGAGGGTAGCACAGACGGGCTAGAGGGTAGCACAGACGGGCTAGAGGGGTAGCACAGACGGGCTAGAGGGGTAGCACAGACGAGCTAGAGGGTAGCACAGACGGGCTAGAGGGTAGCACAGACGAGCTAGAGGGTAGCACAGACGGGCTAGAGGGTAGCACAGACGGGCTGGGGGGGGACGTAAACAGGGACTTTGGGGGTAAATACTCACCAGTCAGTATCAGGGGTATCCTACTTAATGGTGGGGGGTTGTTAGTCCCACGTTAGTATCAGGGACTATCTAATCAGAAGCTGAAGAAACGTAGGTAGTAGTTGGTATATTGTAGTCAATAGCTTTGAGTAATATTGACAATAGCTGAGGGTATTGTAAGCAAGATCTGTGTTATTAGCTTAGCCAGTACTTGGTGTTATTTAAGCAGTGGTCATGGCAGCATAATCAGTAGCCAGGCAACGTTATCATTTATCTTGGATAATGTTTTCAGTAGCTATGGTAACGAAAGCATTACCCGGGGGGGTCACTTAAAAAGTCTCTGATAACAGCTAGGAGCTAATAGGAACTCGATCGAGCACAAGACGGAGGAAAATCGTCAATATTTGGGATAAGATTTTGTCGGTAACCGAATCGGATGCTTATTTGTTACAGTTGTACAAATCTTTACAATTATTGATGGACTGAACAAGTGTATATCATTAACAAACAAAAATAATAGTTTTACACATAAAATTAATAACTTAGTAACTTTACACAAAATTAATAACTTAGTAACTGGGCCATCCTAACTATATCTGACTCACCGCAGATGTAAATCGTCTTGTAGAGAGAATAACAAAACTAATTAGGCCATCGTAATTATTAGATGCGATAACTTATCCAGTAACAATGATAATGTGCGCTTTGGTGGACTCTGGCCCGTAGTGGAAGCGTTTGTAAGTTGCGCAGTATAAATGGAAAATTTCAACATAACATTATACCATAATAGGCTCGTCAACGTCGCCATAATCAACCAATACCTTGCGTTAATTCCATGGGGGAGGGAGGGGGTCAAGGTCTCCCAGAATCATTAGCACAATTAGAAAACAGGGTAAACATTAGAGGCCCCACAGCTCTTCAGTCTCCTTCCAATAAATTCAAGAAATGTTGCTGGAACAACAGTGTAAAGCCTTCAAGAGAGAATGGACAATTTCTTCGACAAGCCTGATTATGGCTCATGGGGTGAGAATAGCTTGAGCTACCTCATCTCTTTGTGTGTATTTTACCTCAATAAACTTATTTCAATTTCAATTCGAGCTACGTAGACAAACAGCCTCACAGACCATGCCATCCCCAGGAAAAGCTGGCCAGTATATCTACCTTGAGTACACCTCGAGTTGGTTTCGGGGCTTAGCGTCCTCGCGGCCCGGTTATCGATCTGGCCTCCTCGTTGCTGGACTGGTCAACCAGGCTGTTGGACGCGGCTGCTCGCTGCCTGACGTACGAATCACAGACCAGACTAGACATTATTATTAACATCTTTATTGACCAAAATTAATTAAAAAAATTCTGAGGAATTCAATTAGCTGGCAGTAGTACTACTCATGAAATCGTCAATAGGTTAGCGTCGTAATTAGCCAAGGTAGACTAACTAGTAACTAGTTTAATGTCTTAATTAGTCGAGGTAAATTATATTAGCCAAAGTAGACTAACTAGTAACTAGTTTTATGTCACCATTAGTCGAGGTAAATTATATTAGTTATTTTCAAATATTTCTTTCCGGATTGGTTCTTTTCTAACAATAACAATCTACAATATCATTAGGAACATGAATTACCGAGCCTGACCTCAGGCCGGGCTCGTGAACTCCCGAAATTCTCTCCAGGTATGCTCCAGGTATACCGACTTAAGCTTGGGTTAGGTAAGTTAGGTTTGATCAAATTTCTATGTTAATTTTGGATCAAAGTAAAAGAAATTAAAATCATATGTAATGTAATGATAAACTGTATCATTCACAAATGTTTTATGCATTTGCGAAGTCACAGAACACGTAACTTCACAAATGGGTAAAGCACCGCATTCCTGTGTGTATTGCATATAACACAATGTATACTGTATATAGTAATAGTTAAACAATACAAAAATGCTTCAAAGGCTTCAATTACTCAACTGTTCAGTGGTATTTGTTGTCCAATTTCACAGCATGTTGTTTTCTCATTGTCTTAAGTACGTGTATCAGAGACCTCTAAGGAATACAGGATTGTATGTATATAATGTAACCAGTTTATGTCCGGGTGGGCAGTGTTGACAATAGAAATGAACAAACACACGATGACTAGGGCAAATATAAGCAATAAATTGGTATTTTTTTCGTCATGATTCATCGCATTGTGACAGAGGGTGGACTGAAATAAACTTAGTTTCCTTGCTAGCGCTTTTATTTCATACTGTCGTAGGTGTAAAATTACTAAAGTCCTAGAAAGAAACTGTGCACTACTCAGAAAAGGTAAATCATCAAAAGAGGTATTTGTTGGAAAACTAACGATATGCCTACTAACGCTGTCAGGACCTGATTGCTAGAGTTTGCTTTGGCTGCTACCTGTTAATATACTGTACGTGATGAAATAACTAGCAGTATTGCTTACAATCTTAATATGCTGCTCGAAAAGGTAAACAAACTGGAAGCCTTTAGATTTACATTAGACAAGTTTGGGCTTCGGTACTTACAAGAAAAAAATAGGGGAAGGGAGGCTTAGGCGGAAACCGGGCCGCGGAGATGTTGATATCCGGAACCAACAAAAAAGTAATCAACAGGTACGAAGGGGGGGGGGTAATATAGCAAACAATAATTTTGTTTTCTTGCTAGACTGAAGCCGTTGGATCAAATTACATGACGGTCATGAGAAGATTATAACATTACCACAATTAAAATGTAGCCTATACGAATATATGCTACAATATTCTGAAATGAATGTGTGTGTATCACTAGTTGTTTGAAGCAGCATATTCTGACAGTAATAGGCTAGGCTAGGAAAGCGTTCATCAATAACAACATGAATTTCTCAAAGGTATGAAACTGCTAAGGTATGCACTACCATTTTTTTCCGGAATACGATCAACCAGTCTTTTTACGGACCGTTTTAGGGACACTGAATAACCTCATTGATTCCAGTACCTGACCTAAAGCCTACTGTAAATCCCAACGTACAATGGACACACATGTATTGTCATGGGTCACCTCGAGTCGACATGAATACCGTAGAATATTATTCGAAATTGTCATAATATTCCTTCGGGAGTGAGAGGTCCGGCAAACACCTTCAAAACCCCTGTGACCCTCACATTCATCACCTGTGACCACCTTCACTACTTACCCTATGGCAAGTAACGGTTTAATAAGTACAGCAAGACAGAACTA